ATAGCCAACGGCTGTGGTTGTAAGCTTGAACCTATGGTCCGAACATGTGGCCCCATGTGCCTTGTGATAGAGTTCAGGTGCATGTAGTTGAGTAGGGTTGGAGCTCACGAGAATGCTGTAAACAACTTGATCACGCCCCTACTTTGCCTTGTGGCATCTGCTATAAAATAAAGACATGGCTTGTGGGCGCCAGTGCTGTCGCCTCATCAGGGAGCAGCATCCCACCGAGACCCAGCTTTCATTCTCATGTCTGTCTTTTCTCAATCCTTTCACTCCCCCCACTCAGAATCACCTTTGGCCATAACAATCTTAAAATGAATTTAACAAACTATTCGTTAAAAACATTAAATTAAGGAGGAGCAGTGCAGGGTGGAGGGGGTCAATGGGGAAAAAAGGGACATCTGAAATAGTTTCAACAATAAAGATAACTAACTAAAAATTTGAAAAAGTATCAAATTAAAAATTGCATTCCCAATCATTCTGTATGAAAACTCAAATTGTGGGAAAATGACTAAAAATGTTTCTTTACTATATATCATTTTTTGAAAATGTTGTTAAAAAAAGTAATCTTTCAAATGCTTGAATTTCAGAGAGCATTTTTATTTACTGTGAAACTTAACTTTAAAATTTTAAGTCTATTCTGCCTGGGTGCTTATCTCATAATTCCTTGCCCTAAAATATTCAGAAAATATAAAACCTTTTTCTTGATTAGAAAAAGGCCTTGACATTTTACTGTTACTTGTAGACTGAAGGAACAATATTCCTCATTTCAAACAGGAATCTCTGTCTCTTGCATGTTTACAAGCTATGCTATGGCCTGGACAACAAAACTAACCACATCTAAGTTTGGTACTGCACACTGGACAAAAATCATAGGAGTTTTTAAGGGGTGTGAGGATAACCTCCATTATGTCCAGGCGGGAGCAGGCCTCTGTGAGTCTCTAATCTGGACCATATTCACTGAATGAGGAAGGACTGAAGCGGGTGGGTTTAGTTATAGCTTTGTCTGTATGCCAGAGATTATTAGTTGGGGGTCCACAAAATTGAAAACCAGCGTGTGATCATGACTTGGAAGGACTATCTTATTGGTGGAACTGTATGATCTGTTATCCTTGGGTCCTGTACAACAAAAGGTTGCTGATTCCATTCCTGGTCAGGGCACATGCCCAGGTTGCAGATTTGATCCCTGGTAGGGGACCTGCAGGACACAGTCAATCGATGTTTTACTCTCATATCAATATTTCTCTCTCTCTCCCTCTCATTTCCTCTCTCTCCAAAAATCAATTTAAAAAATCTTTAAAAACAAAAACAATAACAAAATAATTACCCTGTTCACCCCCTCCTGTAATAGCATTCTCCAATCCCCTTTACATATATATATAAAAGACTCCACAGCATTGTCTCTTGGAAGATTCCATCCAAAATTTCTGGCACCACCTAAGCCAACTAAATATTTACCTGTGAACTTTCAGTTAAGTACCATGTAATTTTTTTACACAACAAAGCAATAAAACAAACACGAAATCTCATAGAGGCCCATTGAGGATTATTCAAAAAGGAAGTGGCATTATCATTTCCAAAGGCAGGGAGCTGGAGAGCACTCAGATATCTGTTACCAGAAAAACAGGCTAAAGATGCCTATTCCTGACCCTGTGATAATAGGCAGCAATGAGAAGTTGCACCAATGTAAATACTGCTGGATTTTAAAACCGAATTTTCATAGAAAGTAATAAGAATCATTATGTATCTAAAAATATGTCATTTACTAGTACAGCAAGTAAAAATACCTGCACACAATACAAAAAAGATATATTTTATAAGAGCACACTGAAACAATTAGACATTAAGGCAGTTAACACCCAGCACAGAGAAGCATTGGCTTCCCTCCCCGACTCCACACACCTGGCCCATGTCCTCCAGAAGAGAGTGTCTCCTCAGTGTGGAGAAGGCACATTCTGGGTGCAGACCCTGAGCAGCCTGGGCTTAGGTGCAGCTATTTAAGGGACCACCTAGGAATACCTATAAGATACGACCTGGGAATTTGTAAATCACTTTGGGAAGAATTACTATTTAACAATATTATATCTTCTAATACATGAACAGTGATCCCTTTCTCATTTATTAGAGTCTTCTTGAATTCCCTTCAATGATGTTTTTATTCAGTGCACAAGTCTGAACAAGCCACTTTTATTATTTCTACTAGAGGCCTGGTGCATGAAATTCATGCTCCCAACCACTCACCTGCCTGCCTGATTGACTCCTAACTGCTCCCCTGCTGGCCCAATTGCCCACAACTTCTTTCCCATGCCAGCCTGTTCACCCCCAACTGCCCTACCCTGCCGGCCTGATCAGCCCTAACTGTCCTCCCCTGCCAGCCATCTTGTGGCGGCCATCTGTGGTGACCATCTTGTGATGACATGGGGGCAGCCATCTTGTGGTGGTCATAGTGTGATGACATGAGGACGGCCATCTTGTGATGATGTGAGGGCATGAGGGTACGAGGGTCACCTAGGCTTTTATTAGTATAGATTGTATAAATACAGAAAATGAGACACAAAAGTTCAAGTTTGCACAAAGTTACATCTATACTAATAAAAGGGTAATATGCAATTTGGACCAGACATCTTCCGGATGTCCTTCCAGACAAAGCCACAGTGGCAGGGACTGAGGCAGAGGTGGTTAGGGGTAGTCAGGCCAGCAGAGGATGGCAGTTACTGTCAGGGGCAATCAGGCCGGCAGGGGAGGTCAGTTAGGGGGAGATCAGGCTGGCAGGGAGCAGTTAGGGGGCGATCAGGCCAGCAGCGGAGGGCAGTTAGGGGCGATCAGGCCGGAAGGGGAGCAGTTATGGGCATCAGGCCAGCAGGCAGAGGTGGTTAAGGGCGATCAGGCAGGCAGGCAGGCAAGCATTTAGGAGCCAGCGGTCCTGGATTGTGAGAGGGATGTCTTACTGCTGGCAGTCGGACATCCCCCGAGGGGTCCCGAATTGGAGAGGGTGCAGACCGGGCTGAGAGACCTCCCTTCCTATGCACAAATTTTGTGCACCGGGCCTCTAGTGTCTTATAAGTAAGGAGCCAAGATTAGAGAAAATTCTGACTTCAGAGCTTCATAACCACTGCCCTATGCTATACATTGTCTTTCATCCTACAAAACTCCTCGGGTCCTCAAAATGAAGGTAAAGTATTCCATTAAAGTAAAAAAAAAAGTAAAGTGAGTGGAAATTTCATTTCCTATAGAAGACACAATTAGCAACTGATTTTAAAATGAAGACTAAGAATACAGAGTAGCTAACCCAGAGAAGAGAGCTGGTAGCATTTCCGATCTGCTTGACATTTCTCAATCTCTCCCAAGGGAAGAACTGAGGCAATACCTGGAGGCTTCCACCCACAGGCATGGTGGCGCCATGGAGGAGCAAGAGCCTGCCGTCTATGGAGGAAACGGAAAACATGCATTGGCAAGAGTTATGTAGGAGCATTTTGCCTAGGAAAAAGACAAGAGATTTATATGAGGAAAAGAGCTGGCAGGATGCATTGCCCATCAGCCCCAAAACTGCCATCTGGGACCTAGCACCTTGTCCATAAGAACAGAACAGAACCCAGTCTTGTTCAGCTAGTGTCCCACAAACAGCAGGATTCTTGGTAGGGAACAGAAGAAGAAATACAAACCGTGCAGCTTGAATACCAGGTGCAAGGAATGAACACACAAACCTGAGTGTCCCTGAGAGTCCCACATTCATGGAGCTCTGGGCTCTTGTACAATTTTCCCATCTCTGACAGCTGAGAGGAGAGTGTTGTGCTGAGAACACAGGAAAGGAGGGACTGAGATCTCGATTTCAGGGCCATGATTTCGGAAGAGACTTTACTCCTGTCATTGAGAAAAAATTTTATCTGAGGAAAGACAGGAAAAATTTCTGGAACTATTTTATCAGTGTCTGCACATTCACAGATGAAGCTGTCACTTAGTTCAAAAATCTGAGCAACCAGATTTCTCTTATACAGTTGGGATATGTGTGACTTTCTGAGCCTCAATTTCCTCCTGGTAACATCTATGGCTAGGAGCATGGTGCTCTCCAGGGCTCCTTAATATCTGACACTTGATGAGGGAAAGGCATTCTTAGAGACCTAGCTTCTCCCCAAAGACCAGACTGAAGTAGGACTCAGCTCCCTCCACCTCCTCCTGAGGAACTAGAGAGAACAGAGGAAACTGTGAAGGAACTGTCTCTGTGCTTCCAGATGACAGCTGTTCCCTGGGTGACAGAGGGTGAAGGCAGCTGGGGCAGCTGAGCTTCATGTTGGGAACAGGACCACTGTGGTTCCCACTGTAGCCTTGCTGACAGTAGTACACTGCCGCGTCCTCCGCTTCCAGGCTGCTGATGGTGAGAACAAAGTCTGTCCCAGACCCACTGCCAGTAAACCTGGCTGGGATGCCGGTGGCCCTGTTGGATACACCATATATAAGGAGCTTGGGAACCTGCCCAGGCTTCTGCTGGTACCAGGCTAGGTAGTTACTAACACTCTGACTGGCCCTGCAGGTGAAGGTGGCACTTTCTCCGGGAGACAAAGACAGGGAAGCTGGAGACTGTGTCAGCAATTTCTCCGGTGGTACCTGGGATTGGAAATAAAACACGACAGTCAGCTGTGTGGTCTAGACTCTAGATCATATCCACTGTCTTCCTGGCAGAGAGAATTGTCAATCTACATGGAGCTTTCATTAGTGTGTGTGCTGAGTAAAGGTGTCATCACAGGACCCAATATTGACAAAGTTTTCACTGAACTAGAGAACCATGCGTGTCCCCTCACCTGGGAGCCAGAGCAGCAGGAGGCAGAGGATCTGAGCAGGGGTGTCCATGGTCCGCTGTGTCCTGACAGAGGCAGATCTCCTCAGAGCACTGCCAGGGCCCTGATATGGGCCTGCATGGTGCAGGGTGGGGGTGGGGTGGGGGGTTTGGGAAGAACATGCAAAGCAGCTGGGGAGGAGACAGCTGGGCTATGCTTCCAGCTGCAAAGACCATCTGCATCCTCTTCTCTACACCTGAGCAACCCATGCCCAGTTGGTCATGTCAGAAAGGGCTGTGGGCTCAGCCTGCGGGAAGGATTTTTCTCTTGTGATCACAGAATTTAATCTCTCTTCTTTCTCTCACAAATGGCCTAGACTCAGCCAGATTGATTGGGCACAAGCCTGTTAGAAAGAAATGGGGGACCTGTGGTCCCATGTCTCATTCTACTCCCACATGCCTCTTGGTGCACGACTGTCTGGTGAGTGAGCTATTGATCAGAACTTTATCTTACACATATTCCTTTCATTGGATGCTCAGTGATTTCCCTGAGTCCTTGAGTCACCTCGCTCTGTGTTAGGATTAGTGAAGAGCAACACTCAGGCCCAGCAGCATGGGTGCAGGGTGACCACACGGCATGGATGAGCAGGACCAGCTCTGCCTCCCCAGAATACTCACAGGAACTCTTCGTTGTGTGACCTGCTATTTCCCACACCACTCTGTTCACACAAAGTGCCCATCTAACCAGGCCCCACTATCCTTAAAAATTTGGGAAAACTACGTTCACACTCGTGTTCTAAGAATTCAACCTGGGCTTCCTCCTGTTCCTCAGAATTATGCACATGGTGGTGAGCACGTGGTCAGGGCCTTCCTCTGCACATCTGAGCAGCTCGGTTACACTCTCCAGTTTTGACCCTCCTCTCCTCAAATCAAATGCTTTTCCTAAAGCAGTGAAACTTTTTGCTCTCCTAATCTTCCTCTATGACTTAAGGGAGACATTTTATCGATGCTACTCCAACTTCCAAATGAATCCTCATCCATTTAGGAATTGGAGCTTCATCCACAGTAGGCATTATTCACCGCAAGGTTCTGCTCTCAGAGAAGTCCCTGAAACCAGCATATCTGAGTCAAGGGACAAAGCTCCATTGCTTAGGGATTGTGTGACATTGATCAACTTAACTTCTTAACTTCTCTTTGTCTCAGTTTGTCTGTCTTTGTAACTGATAATAATGTATTTTTTCTAATAATTCTATTTATAATTTACATAAGATAAAGCATTTAGAACAGTATTCAACCATAAAATATGCTATTTATTTGATCATAATCATTATTATATTTAGCATTCTTATAATCATTATCATAAGTATATTGAGTAACCTAGCAAAGACACATGAAAAACAGTCTTAAAATGAATTTAAGTATGTCTCATTGACAACCACACTAGGTTCTAGGACTGTTTTTTCCAGTTACCAGCTCACTATTCTTAAAAAAATCTGATTGTTTTACCTTGATCTAAACTATATTGCTCATGCTCACCCAGACCTATTCAATGTATTTCTTCTCACCATCCTTTATCCAAACTTCACTTTATAGAAGGTTAAAATGGCCCTGCCAGTTTCTCTCAGTGGTTAGAGCATCGGCCCTCAGACTGAAGGGTCACAGGTTCAATTCTGGCCAAGGGCATGTACCTTGGTTGCAGGTTCAATCCCCCACCCAGGTCAGGGCGTGAGCGGGAGGGACCCAATTGATGTGTCCTTCTCACATTGATGTTTCTCTCCCTATCTCTCTCCCTTTCCCTCTCCCTTCTACTCTCTCTAAAAAAGTCAATAGAAAAAATATTCTCACTCCCAGGTAAGCCTTTAAATGTCATAGTGCTGATCTTTCTTCTTACATAATTCTTCTCTATTTCTCTAATACTTGTCTTAGGACTCGCAGTAAAGAAAAACTACCACCATCATTTTGGGGCCTGCTCCATATAATTTATACAGATTTTTCATTTAGGGCCTTTATGAAATGTCACATTAAGAAACATATTCCTACTACACAGCCATAAGAAAGGATGAAATAGCACCATTTTCAACAACATGGATGGACCTTGAGAATATCATGCTAAGCGAAATAAGTCAGACAGAAAAAGTCAAGAACCATATGATCTCACTCATATGTGGGATATAAAACTGAAAGCAACAAATGAACAAATAAAACAAACCCATTACACAGATAACAGCATGGTGGTTACCAGATGGAACCACCTTGTGGTTACCAGGTGGAATCATCTGGTGGTTACCAGATGGGGGTGGCAGAGAGTAAAGGGCAAAGGGGTCAAATATATGATGGAAGGTGATCTGACTTTGGGTAGTAAACACACAATGCAATATACAGATGATATATCTTAGAATTGTACACTTGATTGAAGCCTATATAATTTTTAATCCTCACCTGAGGATATTTATTGATTCTAGAGAGAGAGAAAGAGAGAGACAGAAACATTAATGTGAGAAACACTGATTGGTTGCCTCCCATATGCACCCCCACTGAGGAAGAAACCCACAATCTAGGTATGTGTCCTGACTGGGAATCGAACCTGCTAACTCTTTGGTGTACAGGATGATGCTCCAACCAACCAAGCCACCCAGTGGGGGCAAAACCTATATAATTTTATTAAACAACATTACCCCAATAAATTTAATTAAAAAAACACACATATTCCCTATGACAGTATTTTATTAAATGGAGGAATTTTATCTGTGCATGGATCAAGAAATTAGAATTTCATGACCAGATATAATAATATAGCTGTAATACAGTCTATCCTATCTAATAAAAGAGAAACATGGTAATTGGTGTACGACCGCTACCCTTCCCATTGGCTAATCAGGGCAATATGCAAATTAACTGCCAGCCAAGATGGCGGCCAGCAGCCAGGCAGCTTGAAACTAACAGGAGGCTTGCTTGCTTCAGTGATGGAGGAAACCAACGTTCCCCGCCTGCCTTGCTGACCTCTGAGCCTGCAGTTTAAGAAACATTGTAACAAATATAGAAGCTAAACAAACCCCAGAAACTTGCTTTCAGCGAGCCTGGGATCTCAGAGCTGGAGTTGATACAGAGTTTCAATTATAGAACCTAAACAAACCAGATACCTACTTTCAGCAGCTGAGGCCTCAGAACTGGGGCCAGAGCTAAAGCTGGCCCAGAATGAAAAAAGAAAAAAAGGAGCAGTTGGGAGATTCAGTCCCAGCATGAAAACAGCCCTCAGCCCCTCACCAAGCCTGGCCAGACACCCCAGTGGGGACCCCCCCCCTGATCCAGGACCCCCTTCAGGGCAAACCAGCCAGCCCCATCCATGCACAAGGCCTCTATTCTATATAGTAAAAGGGTAATATGCCTCCCAGCACCGGGATCAGTGGAGCTGCGAGGCTTCCCAGCACCAGGATCAGTGTGACAGGGGACAGCACCCAAACCCCTGATCGACCTGCGGCTCTGTGTGTGACAGGGGGCAGGGCCACAACCTCTCTATCAGCCCTGCTCTGTTCCTGACAGGGGAAGGTGCCTCAACCCCCTGATCACCCTGCAGCTCTGTGTGTGACAGGGGGTGGCGCCGCAACCTCCCCATCAACCCTGCCTTGAGTGTGACAGGGGGCAGTGCCCCAATCCCTCAATTGGCCCTTTCCTGAGCGTGACTGAGAGTGGCATCGCAACCTCCCAATCCGCCCTGCTCTGTGCATGACCAGGGGCTGCACCTAGGGATTGGGCCTGCCCTCTGCCACCCGGAAGCAAGCCTAAGCCAGCAGGTCGTTATCTCCCGAGGGGTCTCAGACTGCGAGAGGGCACAGGCCGGGCTGAGGGACCCCCCCCACCACCACCACCGAGTGCACAAATTTTTATGCACCGGGCCTCTTGTTTGTAATAAAAAAACTTCCGAGAAAGAAAATATCTATCTCATATATGCTTGACTGGTGACTTGATACCTTATCAAAATTACACAAACCTACGTGAATATTACAAAAAAGGAAATCCTTGTAAAATTATTATGAGGTTTTAATAACCTGCATTCCAAAAATTAGTAAGGTCATTGAAAGAGAAAAAATAAAGGCTAGTATCTTTGTGAACACAAATATAAAAATCCTGAAAAAATTTCATTCATCTATACATCTGTATATCTATGTAGAAAAATCAATCATGGCCAAGTGGAATGTATTACAGGGATGTAATGTTACTTTCGCATTAGAAAATCAATCCATATAATTCATCACATTGAGAGAATGCTGAGATTTTATTTGAATAAAAATAAACAGCTATTCATGATAAAACACTCAGCAAGTCAGGAATAATAAGAAAATGCCTTAATGTAATAAAGTGTCCATGAAAATCCTAGAACAAGCATCAGACACAGTGGTAAAATACCCTTCAAATTGGAAAAAAGAAAGGCTTGTACACTATCACACTTATATTTTAAATGATACTGGAGGTTCTAGCATCCTATATAATAAAGAGGTAATATGCAAATTCACCCTCATACCCTCATAAGATGGGTGCCTACAACTAGGCTGGCCAGAGGGTTAGTGAGGGATGACCAAACGACTGAACAGCAGGCTGTGTGGGACGACCAGGGTGACCAGGCTGGCAGGGGGGTTAGCGAGGGACAACCAAACGACTGAACAGCAGGCTGCGTGGGGCAACCAGGCTGGTAGGGGGGCCATGAGGGGCGGCCAGGATGGCAGAGGGGGGAAGTTGGGGGCAATTAGGTTGTCAGGGGAGCAGTGAGGGGCAATTTGGCTGG